AAATAATCCCATACCCAACTTACTTTTGTTTGTGGCTTGATTTTTGAAGTAGTTTGCTTAAAGGGATTTGAATCATTTGATATTTGACTTGTTGATTCAAATGCAGTTAATGATTCTTGATCTGATTTTTCACTAGTACTTGCCATTTTTTGTTTTCCAAATGTTTTAGATGATTTTGCAGGGCATCCTCTTCTTGATGGTATTGGAGTAATTTCTGCAATTTCATCACTAGAACCTTCATTTTCACTTAAGACAATATAATTTTGATTTTCCATAATTTTATGAATTATTTTATTTATTCAATAAATGAAATTATAAAAAAAAATCCAGAAAGATGGAAAATAAATGCACTATTTATTTATTTCAATTAAGGCTTAGAGCTAGATTAATTTTGATAAAAAATAAATAATTCATGAATCAAAATTTAATTAATAAAATTTTGCAAATTTTAATTGGCACAAATGTGCATAAATTTCAATCAAATAAATGCCACAAATTTAATTATATAAATGCCACGAATTTAATCACATAAATGCTATGAATTTAATTTAAATAAAGCCTTGCACAAATTTAAAGCCATCAATTAATCAAATAAATGCCACGAATTTAAACAAATAAATGCTATGAACTTAATCATATAAATGCCACGAATTTAATTTAAATAAAGCCACAAATTAAAGCCATCAATTTAATCAAATAATGCCATGATTTTAATTAAATAAATGCCACTATTTTAACTAATAAATGCTATTGTTTTTATGATTAATTAAATTATTGCCACGAATTTAATTAAAAGCCACAAATAAGTACCACGAAATTTATTTATTAGGTTCCACAAAATTATCTGTTAAAACCGATCTACAAAAAAAATTTTTATATAAATTTATCTGGATTTCGGTTTTTATCTGGATATATCCGGATTTTTATCCGAAATGGATAACCCGGATAAAACTGGATAATTTTTTTATTTTATCCGGATGACGGTTTCTATCCGAATCCAAATACTAGGCGTGACGATGTGATAAATAAAAACAGATCACGTGATCAAAGAATTTTTCTGGGTGCTGTTGGGTTATATCAGTCTACTACTCTACTCACGTGACTTTACAGTTGTTGACCAATTAACATCTTACTTAAGACTGTGACCTTGGGTCATGCATGTGAAAAAAGTTTACCTGAAAAATATGCATCTGGTATGTTACATGAGGATACAAATTGTACCACCAGAAGTACGAAATATATTTATCGCAGTTAATGCAGTAAATGAACCAATTACGTTATTTTGTACATATTTGTACCAAATGTATATAATAGAACTGGACTCCGTTTCAAGTTGTGTCTTGCTCTATAGTTAAAATTCCAGGACATTTTTTATAAACATAAATGGCCAAAAAACGAGAAATATAGGACTTACTAGCGTTATTTATCACTTATTATCACTACGAAAACTGTTACTTATTCTCTTTCGACTTCAGATTTAGTATAAAATAATGTTAGAAACATACACTTTGTTCCATTCTATTCCTTATCAATATAAAAATACGATTTGTGCTTATTTTAGTATTAAAAATTATACCGCTATTCCTTTTATTTCAACGTCTCTCAAAAGACTCTACCAAGCGATTCTTTAGTCTTTCTAGCGTCCTAGAACAATTACTCGTAACTGCACCACAAAATCAAAATTAAAGGAAACAAGCTGATATTTATATCAGTCGGAGACTGCTCAAAGAGCAAAATGGTTTTTTTTTACACAATATCACTGAAATAAAAATATTGTTGAATGCGTAAAAACAATATGACTCCAATACGCAAAATATGCACTCCAATACGCCAAATATGCTGATTTCTTTACTATAGGATGAATATTATTCAGATAGGCTGAATGGATTACTGAGGGACAAGAAGATAATTGATCAATATGACTTTTATGATCTCGCTATTTCTAAGACTATTGGCTCTGGAGGATCTGCTTCTGTTTACGCCACAAATTGGAAGAATACATTAACAGTTTATGCAATCAAAAAATCTGTTAATAACAAAGAGGTAGGTTTGTCACTGACAACATTTTTTATCTTATTTGTAAATTATTTATATAATATTTTCTTTTTTTTAGGTTTATTTAATGATCATGGCTAATTCTCATGAAAATATAATTCAATTTCGTGGAGTTACAAAGTTTGAAGGTGAGTAACAATTACATATGCCTATATTTAAGTATTTTGTTAATGTATTGTTATTTTCTTAGATGAAAAAAATATTCGCTTATTATGTGCCGAAACGTATGAGCTCGTTCCTATAGCACTGGCAGATATAAAATGAACCAAACTGTTTTGTATGTCTCAATCTGTGCTTCCAAATTTTAACAATTTATATGAAAATTGTTAATACAAAATGAATGTCAGCTGACCATCTGTGTGGCTTCAGGTGATACCTTTTCGAGTATGGGACATTTTTATTCAAAGTCCTGTCCCAAGTTCTGATTTTCTCATGCACAAACTGATTTGGGCGTTCATCAGATTGATTAGATTTAAATTTATTGAATGTGCCTTTGTGAGTTTTATTATTATTTGTTTATGCGAATTTTGGGGAGGATTATGCATCCTTCAACAATATCTAGAAATTCTCTTTTCGCACTTTGCAGCGAATTTAAACTGCTTTTGTCTTAATTAAGGGCATTTGTTTATCACTTCATGCACCTTCCAGAGTGCACGCTTTGCGTTCCAATTTTTTATGCATAATACTTGGTGCATACAATTACATTATTTAAGAGGGCTACTTCATTTTAAAAAAAAATTTCTTCTTTAAAATTGCTCTTTTCATAAAATATTATCCTCTTCTCCAATACTCTGAAAAATGTCTCTAGTTCCATTATATTGGATAGTATCACAAAATTCTGGAAAGGTTCTTGATGTTATAGATGGCTCCACTCAAGTTAATTCCAGAGTTGTTCAATATCACAAAAAATCTTCAGAGATGTGTATTACGTTCAAAATAGATAGCGTAGTATATTCTGTTTTCTATCAAACTTTTTTCTAATTTTTATTTTAGGTTGTGGATAGCCAACTCTGGTTTTTTGATAACAACTGATATATCTGTAATAAGAAATCCGGTCTAGTGATTGGTGTCGATGGACGTAAGTAATTTGGTTAATTAGAATTGGGTGTAACTTATTTTCCGAACTTTAAATTTCCTTTCCTCTCTTAATCCAGCCACTGATCCTGGTTCAGATTTAAATAATGCAACAGTGATTCAAATTAATAAGAAAGATGGTCATAGATGGGTCTATGATGACATTAACAATCATATCACCTTGATTGATACAAACTTTGCTTTTGATCTTAGGGTAGGATCTTATTATTCACTGAATTACTTTCAAGATTAAGTAGATCTAATTCTAATTGTTCTTATACAGGCCAACTCTAGTGATGAGAACGTGCTTGTCTTGTATGCGAAAAATTCAGAGCTGTGGTAACGATTCACTTTACATTTTTATGATGCAGTTCCTATGGACAAGCTTGACGACTAGTTCAGTTTTCAAATTATAGTAATTACTACGTCATGTTAGCATACATCGGAAATATTAATGTTTCCGTTCACATAGGAAAAGTGATCGGCTTTTTTATCTCACAAAAATATAATAAAAAGCTTTATTTTGATTTTAAACGTGTGCACGTTTTCGTGATCGAATAGGTAATAGAAATTATTTTACATCTCAACCAAGTTCTCGGTAAGGAAATGCCAAAATTTTTTTTCGCACCTCTCGTAAAGAAATAAATTGTGAAAATTTCCACCAGGGTCCCTTTATTGATAAGAATACATTTACATGATTAAAAAACAAATAAATGAAAATTATTTTTTCGACTTCTGTTGATTTAAATTAATGTTTGATTTGCGTCTCTTTGGAGGTAAAATTGTTTTAGCTGTCTTTTCATCGGAAACATCACTATTTTCCGCTTTATTTTTCTCGAGATAAGCTATAAGTTTTTGTAACGTACATATGATCGCAGTCTGTTATATACAGAAAATCGCCGTAAGTTACTAGGTTCCTAAACACATATCACTAAGAGATTAAAATTACCCTTAAAGTTAGCAATGAATGGATTAATGGATAAATCGTCTCGGTTGATACCATATGTAACGGTATAGTTGCTCGAGTTAACAGACAATTTTTGAGGATACCGTATTCCATATTCATGCTATAAACCCTTAAATCATCTCCTAAAAAAGTCCTCATAAGAATATATGCAATAATGAATTAATTTACATTGCACATACCTGCGACATTAATAGAAAATATCGATAAAAGGTTGCTCAATATCCCTTTCTTGATAAATTGTTTAAGATGCGTTTTTGTGTAATCCATCAAATTTTTACTAAGGCGTGCCAACTTTAAACGGTCTTGTTCCTGTTTTCGTTTATGAGAATTAGGGCGACCTGTTTCCATATTCAGAATATCCACTCTCTCGTTATTCACATATGCAACAAGCATAAAGTCTGGTCTGCAGGCACTACAAGAATCTCCTTTTTGCACAGCATCAGGCCAACTAGCCATATCGCCCCTAATAAAAAATATATCACCTCAGATTTCTATGGAAATATTTAAGAAACCAGTTTCACTCACCATATTGTCCATGATTTATTATTTACTGGCAAATCTCTAAAAGCAATATTAAATAATGGTGCCAAAACTTCGCAAACATATGAACCCTCATTTATTATCGTCTGGTTTAAAACATAAGACCTATATTTTGGCGAAAACCAGACTTGACGCCTAATACTATATTAATTTCTCGCATTGAAGGATCCAAGTCCAACCCACCAGTAAAACATGAATTTAGTAAATTACATACAATGCTTCCAAAAATCGTTTTATCAACATTTCTATTTCTTCTGAGGGCTCTATCCACTCGCCAAATGGAGGGTCAAATGTTGAAGGCAGGGATACTTTTGTCCTAATATTCACCTCTTGAAAAAAATCGTCGCAAGTTCGTGACACTACATCATTACTTGGCAAAGTATATTTTTTCTTAGTGTCTTGTTCAAAAATATTACGAAGGGATTCTGGCATATCGGAGATAGGTTTCGATTCAGCATCTAATATGCCAGAACATAGAGGGTGATTATAAGGCAGTTGAGCTACGTCTATTTCTTCTAAGTCATTTCCCAATCTTTTCCACAAAAGTTTTTCAGTCCCTGATTTTGCTTTTGATATAGCCTGAAATCTGTTAGCGAACAATAATTGCGAATAGGGAAAATACTACTACATGAACATCATACATGAGCCACATTTCCCTTTAGTATCTTTAGATTCTCTTCTGCATGGTCAATCCAAGAATCCACATCTACATTCTATGACGTCAACATTGACACCATTATAACAACATCTTAATGGTCATGTTCTTGACTAATATTAAATCACCTTATACATACTAGCGCATCCAGCTCTAGAAGGGAGGTGATATCTTCGAAAGCGATTCTCGTCTAAACAAATTCAAAAAGGTTACTTAACGTCCAATAAAGAAAAAAATAATATAAGATAACCCAGCGGGTTCAGATATATTGCGTGAAGCGCAATCCCCTCCAGGTATTATAATGCTATTTCTTCATAAGGCCTATATAACAGATATTGGTCATGATCGCAAGTGCTAATAATGTAACAGTAATAATCCAAATACTATCTTCACCAGACATTACTAATATGCTTTCGCAATACGATCATTGTGCACAAACTAAAATAATTATCATGCGAACCATATTTTAATAAAACATTAACATGTTCGTACCCTTTGTTTCAACTCTTCGCCTTGCCCGAAACTCTGGAGTCTATATAGACGCAACTTATCCTTGGCTGGTACGAGCTTTTTAACCCTTTCCAATGTTTGAACAAAATTCTGAACTTTTTTATTATAATCACCAGTCCAACTACCAGTTCTAACCTGTTTATATAAAGCAGTTGTGACTGTGATATTCGATACCGGAATAAAGTCAATAAGAAATTTTCCATTATCGTATGTTTATAACTTAGCTTGCTGAAAAATAACGTAAGATACAATAACTTGCCCTACCTACCATTTTAAATACCCACAATTTCTATTCACGTCCCCTCTGGATCCGAGTTCATATTTGGGGTCTGAAGCATAAGAGTATGCAATAACTCTATGCCAAAGCTTTGTGTTCGAGAATAAGAGCATGCAGAACGTGCATTGAAGATCTCGACAATTACAAAAGCATTGGGGTCATGATGTATAAATTTTTTATTTTACTCATACTTCACTGGCTCCCGACCTCCCGATACTAAGGCCTGCAAACATTATTTAAATGGGTTTGGTCAGAATGTATTAAAATAGTTGTAGTTCCGGAGTGAAGATACAGTATATTAATAAATATTCTGCAATGGAAAAAATCAAAAAAATCAAAATATTTTTGGGGTCATTTCTTATGTGAAATATTTTGTTACACAAGTTGTTGCACTGCTATCATATATACCTTAACGAGAATTAAACCATGCTTATTTGTGTCGCACAGCTCAGAACATATTATTTTATAACTGTTAGTATAGTTTCTTAAATGTTATAGCTGACCATAATTTTAGGAAGAAAGAATAGTCTTTGTGAATACTGTTGCAATTGAATTTTAAAGAATGAAATCAAAAATATTGCGAAATTCAACTGAACTAGAAAGTGAAAGTAGATACCTCTCATTAGTTCGCAAATGTTTGGTACTTGAGTTCAGAGAAAATATATTCGAATTTCGCTATCATTCATATTTTATTCTGTTAACAATGTAAATTCGTTGTCATCGAGAAGACATAAAATGCATGTTCTACATGCGACATGGAAGAAATGACGTAGCATAAAAAATATGTTGCACAGTCATTTTTTACCCTAACCAAAACTGGTATTGTGATTTCCCTAATTAGAAACTATCTTCGAATTACAACATTGAGTCGTTCTCTTGATTACTAAAATAAGTTATACGAATCAATATTCTTGTGATTTAAAACATATTTTAATCGTCGATCAACTAATAAAATCGATTCGCAATCCACGTAATACACATATCTAATTTTGTTCTTCGAACAGTCTGTAGAACGAAATTTGAAAAAAACCAGTAGTAAATCATGGCATTTTTAACAGCTAATAATAAAAACGTGTCTCTCCGTGACGTTGACAATACTTTTTACAAAATCAAGGCATTACATATTAGTTTACTTAATACAGAAGACACTATAGATTACTTAAAATACGAGTGTGTTGCATCTTGATGATACTCACTTTATGTTTTTCGTGAACATGAAATAACTGGATATGTCTTTCCTGACATGACCGAAAAAAATTCCTAAGCTATGGTTTGAAAGAAGGTTCAGCAGCTTCACTCGCAAAATTTGCCAAGGAATGCAAGACGCAAACAGAAAAAAGTGTTCCACAGACTAATCCTTTGAAAGAAATTGAATTTTATGACGTAGTCGAATTTGTGAAAAATAAGTTGAACCTAAATACGGAACAAATAAAAAAGTAACAAAACGAGGTAAAGGTTGTGTTTCAATTGTATTACAGAAACATTACCAATTTCTTTATTCATAAATCTCTCAAATAGTAGAGAATTCAAATTTTGGAAGATTGTAGTTTAAAATCTCAGGGTATAAACAGTGAAGCGAACTTAAACATTGCAATTGATCGAATTAATGAAAAGATGTCTCTTCTGTTAGAACACAAAAAAGAAGAATACCAGGTGCATGGTAAATATATATTGTAATAATTTAATAATAAAAATCTGCTGTCTTTGACGGTATTCAGTTATGTCAAATACTTATTTTTTATCATAGCAAATAACACAGAACTCAGACAACGAAAAAAATGATGAAGAGGAGAAGAAAAATACTGATAAAGTGCGTTCATCGGACAATGTTATAGGTAAGTTCACCCTTGGATAAAACTAAACAGATCATGTTATGCTTGTTGGGAAGTTACAAAGTAATGTACTTGTGTGTTTATTTTTTATTTTATGGTTTCACCAGATACTATCGATACTACTAATACTTTTAATCAATTTCAAGAAGAGCTTGACAATTATATCAATAAAAGTACTCCAACAGAGGGAAAATATACCTGCTCAATCTGTAATAAAAACCTAGTCTCAGACAAGACATTAACTAGATATATTACTGAACAACATACAAACAAACGTTACCGTTGTAACTAATGCACATATGAATGCAAACAGTTAGATAACTTAAACTCGCATAAAATGCGAAAACATTAGCCGTACAAAAATTTATGTAATCGGTTTCTTGTGTTTTTTTTTAGCAAAAAAATTGGTAACTATTTTGTAACGTAATTAGTATGTTAACGAAATACAATATACATGATCTAATAGTTTTTTATATTCATTGTTGATCAGTACTCATTCAGTGTGGGTAACTTGGTGGTAATTCATAAACCACATCATGAATTTAATGATACAGACATAGTCAATCGTCTACTTTAATAACAATCCTCAAGAAACGATCACCTCGTGAGCAAAGCTCAGACTAATATAACTCCAAAAACCGTTTCACTAGATTCTATCTAGGACTGGAGGAGCCAGTAACTACGTTCCTAGGAATAATGAGAATGAAAACCAAAAAAAATAATGGTTAACGATAACATTCATATGCATTATTGTGTAGAAGAGCGGCATTATAGCATTACGCTCTGCGCCTCCTGGTAATAATGGCAACCGTAATCATAACCAAAGGTCTTATTTACCAGAGGTTTTAGGAGATAATCTCATAATGGGAAATGATCAAAGTCACGTGATTTTGAACCTATTCTTCTCCGCTGTTGTCCACTCATATTCTTTTCACGTTATCTTCTATCCGCAATATCTGCAATCGATATTCAAGGGATACTTCATATCTACCGAATCATACAACTACATTGCAAAGCAATACCCTACAGGTCATTCACTGTAATCAAATAACATCAAAATGTATACGAAAAATCTTCGTGATTTTTTGAGGAATGAGGATACTTCAACCTATTCCATGAAATTATGAAGATCACACTTGGAAGAAAATGTGGCACGTCATACCATCATAAACTACTTCGCATAGAACAAGGATTGGATCTTAGTATGCATCAATTTTTTCTTTTGCATGAGCATGGGTTTTACCCAGCCAAGGGCTCTTGCCCTACCCTCTGGGTACGAAGTAGATTCCATCTCCCCATAGGATACTATGTAGAACTGGAGTAACTAGGACTTTATCCCAGAAGATACATACCCATTAATGGGTTTGTGATAACCATCATTTATACGTTATGATTAATAAATCAATGGTCGCAACAAAATCCCTAGTCCATTAGGAGCTTCGAAGAAGTGATTTTTCGAGGAACGAGGGACTTGGCGTAGCCTTTCGAAGAAATAGCCCATTCCATGAAATCATAGAGGGAGGAGGTTCTAGGAACCTAGGTTCATAGGCCCAAAGGGCACATGCGGTAACATTTGTTTTTCGAAATATTGATCTTATTCTTATTTCAATAATACGTCAGCTATATTTCTTTGGAGATTTCTCGTTTTTGGCAATAATTTTCATGATGCATTTATTATCTCTTCGTGTTTGAGAAATTCAAGCTACATACCTGAAGGATATCCCATATGTATGTTGAATTTGCTCTTTGAGCGGTCTCTGACTGATGAAGTAACTCGAATTAATGAACGTGTAGATAAAAAGGAAGGACGATAATTTGTTAATAGCATGAAGTCAATACAGAAAAATAAGAATAGCTAATAGGTTCCAAATATTGGAGCATTAGTGTAATTTACGGGGTATAATAAATACGCATGTAAAGATAATAGTAGTATTGTGAATTTTTTTTTGTAATATTTAGCTCTTCGAGCAGTCTCCGACCGTGTCCTAATAAAGAATATATTTATTGTGTAATATTTGGTGTTTGATACTCTCTCCTTGCGTCTGTTAAGAATTTGACACGTTTACGTTTACATATTTTCAAATCATACTATGGTCAACAGAAATGATCAAGGGTGATAGTACTAAAGACAATTTTATTCGTTGATGAAAGGCACATGATTTTTTATGTCCTTTGTATGACAGATGTAGATCGTTACCAGAAAAACTAATGTTATATAACGAGACCGTGACCCTTGGGTCACAGACTCACAGTTGCTTTATTTTATTGTGCATGTATCAGTTGTATCACGTAGGATGAAATTTATTAAAATGGTAAAGTCTACACAATTTTTTGACACTTCTCCCAGTAATTTTGTTTCTGCTCTACTTAACTAGGCAAAGGAGTCATTTACTATTCATATTCGTCTATTTATATTATAGAGAAAATATTGTATACAAGATATTTCTAAACACGCTAACACTACTTCTGTACAATGTCTAATGACGAGCAGTACTACTATTATGACGTTTAGTATCTCTGATTGAATTTTTTGGAAACAAAGTATTGGAAAGCGAAGTAATTTTATATAGTTTCTCAATTACATTAGTAGACTGCTTAGTGGACAATAAAGAGTGTCGGTAACAGTATTTTTTGTTCAGAGCAAAATATTTGTTTACGATATCACCGGTCAAATGATGACAAATAGGGAACCAATAAGATGGAAATCAGGTTACCTGATTTCCATCTTATTGGTCCCCTATTTTTTTTGTTTATTATCAATCGGGAGAATCCCGATTGCTACCAAAAAATGGCGCAATAAGAGTACATTAGGTTTCCAATCTGGATATTCAAATAGAGTATAATTTGATATTTAAATAGAGTACAATCGGGTTACAATAGGCCATTTACTATTTGACATATCAGTATACCGATTGTTAACTTTTCAACCAATAAAAAATCTTCTGATTGCCATACATTTTTATTTTAAATTTACTGTTTTATTAATTATATTTTGGTTAGTTTACTAAATACGATTATATATTAATTATTAAAATTATAAAAATCGGTTTTACAGAAATAAATTTATTGCTAAATTATTATTATATAATTGAATCATCCCACCGATTTACTACTATTACTACTATCGTATTCTTCCGAAACAAGACTTACACTTCTCTTTTTCCTTTTTTTCCTATCGTCCACTTCTTCATCCTGCTCTTTTTCCTGATCTTCGTTCTTTTCTCCACCGGTTGCATCGTCATCTTCCTGGCTTTTATCGTCGTCTTCTTGGATTTTATTATCGTCTTCCTGGCTTTTATCATCGTCTTCCTGGCTTTTATCATCATCTTCTTGGATTTTATCATCGTCTTCTTGGATTTTATCGTCGTCTTCCTGGCTTTTATCGTCCTCTACCTCTTCGCGATTAGCACTATATTTTTCCACTAAATGTTTCAACGATCCTTTGTAACCGACTTTTGCCCATTTGGGGGCATTAACGGATGCACTGTCCTCATTAGGAGCATATTCAGTATCATACACCTGTTTTCTTACGCGTCGAGCATTTAACGCCGCATTATCGACGTAATTTCGTAAAAAAGAGCGTAGCTATAAAAAAAAAAGAATAATAAAAATACGAATTATTATGCACCGATTGGTAAAAATTATTCGAATACTTACGGTAGCTGATCTCCATTTGAGATCCCGTATGATGATCTTTCGCTTATTAGAGTTATCGCTATCGGTCTCCGATACCTCCAGACTGTGGTATCGATTATCAGTCTGAAGAGGCCGGAGCTCGTTGGTGTGGAACTTATTTATCAATCGATCTTTTAATTTTTTTAACTTGTTGATAGTTTTATTTCGTCTTTCCCGCTTCTAAATAATTAATAGAAAATTATAAGATAAGGTAATATAAAAACAACGATTTAATATTTACATCACTTCATCTTGAATTTGTATGCTTTCTTCTTTTTTTGAGATTTTTCCAATTGGCATCCCTCTCGCTATTGAGTAGTAGCTCTCTCTGGTGACGATGTCTCTCATGCACGATATGCTTAATCACACCGTCGGAAATATATTCTTATTGATCATTTTTTGTACTACCAGAATTATGTTATTTTGGACCAACTTTCGCTGACTATCAAAAGTTTTCCTAGTATTTAATGCTTTGTCTTCCAGAAGTCAGTCCATAATTCCGGCAATTTCGTTCTAATCGTAAGAATATCAACTGATTAGCAAACAATCTAGGGAATTAAACTGAACTAAAAAAAAAAATAGTTACCCTTAAAGCAGTCCTTAGATCCCGATCCATTTTCTCGTAATGATGAAATGACGAATTTGAGGATGAAAATGAGGAGGATGGGGATGGGGATGGAGATGGAGATGGGGATGAGGATGAGGATGACGATGACGATGAGGATGAGGATGGAGGCGGGGCACTTTTTGATGATCCGGCAACTCCATATTCTTTTGATGATCTGGCAATTTTATAAGCTTGGATATATCGGTTCTTCTTCGGTGATCGGGATACGTATTGGCTCTTTTCTGGAGAATCTGAGGTTTCTACTCCTGACCAGTTAATAATCATATCTTTCAGATTTGCTGCTTTTTGTTTACCTTTCGTTATTTTCTGGATCAACCGACTCAATTCTTCGACCTGCTCCTGGAACGCTAAAAAAGAAAAATTGTGATAAAATTGATAAAATTTGATAATCTTATTATAATATACTTATAATATATACATTAATAACATACTGGTTTGATCATTATCTCTCTCATCCTGTTGAATCAGATCATCATCGTCATCGTCAACTAAGTCAATTACACTGTACTTTTGGCCTTTTTGGCCTTTCATTGGTTCCGATTAACGTCTTTTTGTTCGTTTTTCTTTATCGAGTACTTTAAATTCATAATCATTAGGTGATATAATAAATTCGGGCATAATTACATAAATATATCGAAATATACCAATATTTCTTTGTTCGTCTTCAACAAAGTCGATTAAAGTGGGCTTTTGTCTTTTCGTTGGTTTAATATTAGATATCGATCGCTAATAAATCGAGAAATTAAAGAATCTGATGAAAATCAAATAAATTAAATTACCGTTGTTTGTCCATTTGTTTCTTTGGAACCGTTTTATTGGTCTTTCGCACTTTAGCTTCAGGTTTTTCGCTATTGGAGGATTCTATATCCGAGTGGTACCGTTTTCCAGATTTTTTCTTTTTTTTATGTTTTTCATGTTTTTTATGTTTTTTAGTCATATTTAATTATAATATTTCAGTAAGAATATGTTTTAGTAAATTTACGGATAGA